GGTTTGAAAATTACAGGCCACAGAAACCCCGATAGTAATTAAAATCGCATTGTATTTATTGGACTCCATGAAATCACGTTCCAGAAGACAGTCATCTTCATAGTCAGAGCTGCAGAAACCTCAAACCCAGCATGTTATTCAACATTTCGCTGTTAGCTCCAGTATCTCCCCAGGACTCGTCTGTCTGTGTTTTCCTATTACANGTTTAAGTTCTATAACCATTTGTAACTTACTTATTGACTTACCTACGTATAAACTAAGTTTCGAAAAAACTGGTTTGTACGTTATATAAGGATAACCAAATAACTCCTTGAGAAGCTAATATTTACTAAGCTAGTCAAGAAATTACCCACCTTTTATGGAACCCAAGGTTCGCTCACCAACTGAACCTTATACTAAGCTAAATTAATCTAGTCCACACCCTCTGATACGATTTATTTAGGATCAATTTTAGTATCTTTGACCCATCTACGCCTAGGTTTTTCAATCAAATTGCCAACTGTCAATACTGTCATTGTAACAGAGACTTCTTCTTCTTATTATTATTATTATTTTTGGAGGGGGTGGGTTTCCCCATGCACCGCGACTAGTAGTCTATTGTACGTCCCCCTTTAATTTCTACTGTCGCCATACCCTACCAGTACGGGTGCTCGCTATCAGCCCCACTCTGCCAGCGAGGTCGGCCCTCTTCTGGCACTGGTACCCGATGCTTCCCCCATCTACCGGAGGCATTTGAAACTACTTGTGCGGGAAACTTTTTGCCTAATTTTGCTCAGAGGTCTCCTAGAACATAGACTTCTTCCTCTCTGGATGCGTCACAGTGTGAACTCCAGGCCAATGTGCCAATCCAAAGCAACTATACCTGCAGTGAGTTGAACAGGTAGTAGAAGCACCAAGTGATGATGACGTTATAGTAGAGAGCAACAAAGAAGGTGACGACGCAGCTGGCGATGCCAATGCCACCGAGCCAGGGATGGATTGTGTTCCAGACCCCCAAGGAGCCCAGCCGCATCTTCTGCCCCATCCCCAGTTCCACTAGGAACAAGGGGATTCCCTCCAGGACCAACATCACAGCAAAGGGAATCAGGAAGGCTCCTGTAACAAAATATGAGGGGGAAAGCTCAGTTTAAATGCGTTTCATAATTACACAGGAAGTCGAGATGGGGGTGGGTAGACAGACAAGATGGACAGAACATATGGCCTTCCCACTGGCGCAGCGTCGTTAAAATCCATACATATATCACGGGTAACTTAACTGTGGCTCGCGAATCGCGTGATGCTGTTTTCAACCGTTACTGGGGGTTGCAGAAATGTCATGAATTAAATGTACACAAATCTACAGCATGGAAAGCCCTTTACCTGAACACCCGTGCCGCCTAATCCACATCTGATTGCGGCTCCCGAACTACTGAAAATTATCATACGTGGCTGCATTCTTCAGCAAGTTTGGCGACTAATGGCATTTAGAACAAATCGAATCGGTGTCTGTACATGCACAGAGTTACCAACACCGAGAAGAACGGCGACAGTCCAAAACAGTCTCGAAAATTCTGTGCCTATTCGAAAGTTGACGTTGCCCTGGTGTAAGGGAGAAGTAAATATTTTGCTATCAGACTTAGGAACGCTGTTCTTAATGTTATATTTCAGCATCCTGTTGCTCTGTGTAGATCTGACTCAGGGTTTCTGCGCCGTCTGTGTACAACTTCGTTCGTTGTTCCTTTATTGGACACTGTTTCACTACACGTTTCGGCCTAATTGGCCATCTTCAGGTGTGCAAGTTGTTGTAGTTCAGGACTATGCTGCAAGAAGAGGAAGAGAAGCCGCATTACTGTGGGCAGCAGAGTCCTGGACTACAACCTGCACACCTGAAGATGGCCATTTAGGCCGAAACATGTAGTGAAACAGTGTCTAAACGAACGACGTTGCACACAGACTGCAGAGAAACCTCTAAGTTAGGAAAGCTCCTAAACTTACACTGTTGCGGGCAGCCAAAGCTACGAATTCGCGAGCGTTTCTAAAACGGACGAACCTGTTTTACCTTTTTACATAAGTCATGAGCGGCTGAGCAATGTTTGGTTCCAATACTTATTTTGTAGGTGGTGATAATATTTTGATACGGATATCAGAAGTGAAGTTGATATTTATCAGCATCTTATGAAAGCTTTTTATGCAAACAGACACACAAAATATGTCTGTATAAATCAATTAAGTAAAATCGTGTTCTTGGTCTTTAATCTGAAACCAGTAGACTACCTGACATACGTACACATTACAACAGTATATACCGTCGCTTGAATTCACATTCCGTGAAGATGGTAAGACAAATATACTCGTATTTGACAACATTACATCCGCATGTGTCTTCAGTTGAGTGCAGACGTGTTCAACAACACAGTGTACTGTGGTGTATGTGTGTGTGTATGTCACCTCGATAGTACTAAGAAAGAAACGAATATACTACACGTATATGTGACTTAGACATCATTGGGAAGTATCTTTGCTCAAACTCATTAGTCTTTAGAACGTACGTTTTAACCTGTTCATCAAGGATTGGTTCAGGCACTTCCTTACATACGCAGTAATCGTTAAGTTCTCGAACATAAATAACGTGATTGCATAAATATTGATGAACAGATTCGTCATTTATTATACCAACAGCTAAAGTTTACACGTTTGTATATAATAATTTCATTTGTGGTATTTTTAGGTTAATGAACTGCTTTCTTTTCAGTTAGATGTAGCAAATAACACTCCTGTACCACTCTAATAGTTTCCATTTCCCCTCTGATGTGAAATGGCTGTTCTCTAGTGGTACCTAAAACTGAACTTAATACAACGAAGACATTCGTGGTACTGGAAAAAGAGACAGCTCCAGTGATATGTGCTGTGTTTGTCGCTATTTCCATAGGTGCTTACCGCCAAAGTAAAAGGTAAAGGTATCCATGTAGCAGGCCGTGGAGACCCATAGGGTTGTGTGACGTCCAGGCTGCCACATTTTTTAGACAATCGGCTGACAGATGACGGTGTGGTTGTCAGTCTTAAGCGTCGGCCGCCCTATTACTCCCAGGAAGATTCCTGGTACTCATTTCTGTTAGAGTCTGATTCTTAATTTATTTAAATCCGATACTGGTGCTGGCTGAATTGCAGCCGGTTCTCTCAGAGACCTTGTATCGAGTCCTGAATGGTCTGTTCACCAGATTGTGACGTATAGCGAGGCATTTGCGTTCTTTTCGTACGGTACCTTCTCTGTGAGGGGAAACGGCATCAGGAACAGGAAATGGGAAACTCAAGTTTCCTGCACGTACCTTAATTTTCTCATGACGAATTCTGTGGCAGTCCTCAAAATGAGAACTGACGAGATCCGCAAACCTCTCAAGTATTTAGGCCCTTCTTGTTCGGCTGTTCTGTATCGCTTGCTGAACAATACAATACAGCATATTTGGTAGCAATAAATATGCTCTGTGGCGGCAAAATTCGCGACCTTGAGAAGCCACGCCCTTTGCCATAGCACTGACCTGTCTCAAAGGCGTATCCTTTAAGCTACTCATGTTCTCAGCGAGTCGAGTTCGCACCCTAGTCTCTTTTTTTTTTGCTCCAGCTATCTCTGTCGCACGAGAAGTCTCTTATACCTTTCCCGCTGAAACTCATTCATGTTTTGTGTGTGTGTGTGTGTGTGTGTGTGTGTGTGTCCCACCCAACAACAACCATGGCCATTCATTTCTCGAGCATGAACATTGCCTACACTATGTGAAATGGCAAAGTGGGAAACCCCCACTTGTCAAGCAGCTGACCCGCCCGCTTGCTTCGGAAGAACGGATAGGCCTGCCAGAACGACGTCCAGTTGTAAACAGGAAAACTGTCGCGGCAGGAACTACGAAGGACACCATTTTCTGGAATGTGACGCAGTGTGGTCTAGTAGTCAGGCAAACCTCTGTTACCTATTTGCTTGGCGTTTCGACCCTGAACTAAACTACATGACGTAACATCCCAAAATATTTTAATATGCTTAAAGCGGACTCGTTTATGAAGCATAATTAATTTTTATGCTTATATAGTAGTAACTATATTGCCAGGCCTATGGGATGGAGATCAGAGTTCGATTCACGGAAGGGGCATGTACATCTCTTCGTGCGTACAAACGGATTCACTGAGCCGCCTAATTTACCCCCAGGGTAAAGCTGTCGGGACGTGAAGCTGACCACTACAATGTAGCACCGAGCTTTATAATGTATCGTGCTGTGTCTCNTTGCCAGGCCTATGGGATGGAGATCAGAGTTCGATTCACGGAAGGGATGTACATCTCTTCGTGCGTACAAACGGATTCACTGAGTCGCCTAATTTACCCCCAGGGTAAAGCTGTTGGGACGTGAAGCTGACCACTACAATGTAGCACCGAGCTTTAGAATGTATCCTGCTGTGTCTACATGGCTTCATTGTGCCATGCTTAAGTAAGCCAACAGACGTTACTTTCGCTTTGGCTACAGAAATGTTTCGATAGAGACGGGCTTCCATTTGCTGCAGGTTCCGCTATACTGCATCCCTGTAGTTGAGTAGGTTCACTCTAATTTCAAATGACCATCTTTACAGAAGAGATAAAGGCTCTGATGTAAAGCATTTACTTGTTGAAGCCCTGAAGTAAGTTATCTCTTTCTTTTTCTTTTTCAGACAAATGTTAGTCATACTGTCTTCTGATGTCTTCTATTACGTCCTCTGTAGGGAACAGGAAATAGGCAAGAAAAGTATATTTTCTATATACAAGATGTCGCTTGGCCCCCCAAATAAGTTATACGTAAAAGGAAACAAGAGGGAAAACCTAAAAGATTGTGACATATAGACCCATTGCTAGAAAACGACTAGTAAACAGATTCCCGCTGGAGCCAGCGCGCGCAACAATATGACGTCCATTGCTAGGCAAGCCTTCTCAACAGCAGAGAGGCTGTATTTTCTATGTGGTCCGTGCCGAGGGGTTGCAAAGGGACAAAAAGAGTCGTGTGAGCAGTAAATGCAAAAGACAGACCCGTCCTCACGTCAGAGAGAGCGTCCCACAAAAATAAGACCGTAACTGTCAAACGGTAATAATTAATACCTGATGATGAGCCGCAGATGTGGCTCGACATCAAGACTTACTGAGTGACTGACCGTCAGTCGCAATGTGACTTTGACTTTGAAGTGTGAGTTATTTGACAGAAGTTGAGATAGTTCAGTTGAAGATTTCATTTGAGGGAGTTGTTAAGAATTGGGTTGGAGTTCTGGCGATGGCAGTCCGGGGTGACTGAGAAGAAATGGCAAGGGAAGGAATTAGGCGGTCAAAAGAAGATTTCATATGTGATTTGAAGTGACAGTGAGTGTTGTAAATCCGTTGCCAGGATACGACTTGTGAAGACTGAGAATCCTAGTGCGTGTGTAACGGCGAACTGTAAAGTGTGCACATCAGCGATAGCTCTGTATTGCCTGTAGTCCCGAGTTATATATAAAAGGTGCAATAAATCCAATCCAAAACCCGTCTATGGGTCACGCGCAAACCCATACACGTGACGCTATTGATCTTAATAACACTATGAGCGCGAGGTTTCACCACTGAATTACATACCAAAGCCGCTTGGGGGTTAATGCCGTTGCAGAGAATACTTCCTAAAATCTTTAAACGACAGCAAGTATAAATCAATTGAAAGCCTATTCTCTGCCCTAAACATCGATGTCACATTTGATGTCATCTATTGACAGAAATGCTGTACCAGTTCATTAATAACAAGCCGATGTTTTTCGGCTGTTGTCATTTTAACGCATGCGCCCTGAATCTGACCATTTCGTGGTGCGCGTAAGGCTAAAAGATGTGAACTGAACAAATTCGAGCTATATGAAACTTTAAGTAATATCACCACCTTTACCACCCCCCAGTAAGCGAATTTAAAAAAAATGTAAACTAAGTAAACTGAGAAAGGCTGACCCAATAAGTGTCGAAACATGCTGTATTCAACATTAATGTAAACAACCTTTGTTGTTAACTCTTACTAGAATTGTGTTCGCTGTTCAAATATACAGTTTCAAACCTTCTAAGACAGAAACCTTGAACGAAAAATAGAATAAGATGGTTT